GATTGTCACACCGAAGGAAAGCACTGGCCCGAGAGTACGTGCCTCTCCAGGTCGTGCTTTTGCCAGTTCTTTGAAATCGATGGAGTTGCGTGCACCCCGCGAAGGCACGCCTTGCAATATAGAGCAATGTAGGTGGCAGGCTGACCTCAGTTAGAGAGGAGCACTTAAGGAAGGCTTCCTGCTCAATTATGCGGAGTTTGTGTGGAAGCCACAGGGATCGCAAGCGTTTGCAGCGCGCGAAAGCACATCCCATGATCTCCGTGACCCCTGTAAGTGACAGATCCACCAATTGCAACTGCAGGCAGCGTTCACAGGCTGCTGGTCCAATCCATGTAAAATCTGCGGGCAGAATCAGTGAGTCTAGGCCAGCATCAAGGAAGCAGCACTCTGGTAAGCACCGCGTCAAGCTGTGAGGGTTGTGCTCAGACTGTTCCAAATCGAGTTGTCGTAATGCTTTACATTTTTCAAAAGCTCGTGGCATTAATTCTGCCTGCGGAGCTAGTTGATTGGTGGCGTCATCCCTAACACCAATTTGGACCAGGGAGCAGCACTCTTCAAAGACTTGGGCCCCAAACTGCTTGCAGCCAGGGGCAATTACCGTGCGCAGTGCACTGGCAGAAAACACGCGTTTGCAGGCTAACTACTGTGCTGGCCAGATGCACTATTTGGAGGTGTTGGCAGTTGCGCCATGCTCCCTCTCCTATGATGCGATAGCCAGCGTCAACCTGCGCATGTCGCACGTTTGCCACATACGAGAAAGCTAGTGGGAGGATTCGATCAATGGCATGGAAAGGGACTCAAATCGCTTTGGCATTACTTTGCATTTGCCCCTTGTGTTCGGCTGTCTCAACACATGAGCCCACAATGACCGTGAAGCAATTGCAGTCTCGTAAGGTGTGCCATGTCGGGTCCACTAATCTCTGCTGCGAGTTGCGGCAGACAAAGTCCAGCCCACAGCAAAACGTACTGCTTTCTCCTATTTCGGGAAGTTGCTCCAACACTGCATTTTCGAATTCCTGGAGACGGTCAAACTCCTGGAGTTCGATAGTTAGCTGGGTCTCTTCTCCTGCCAATGTGGCTAATATCAAGTAGATAGTCATTGATCTTTCTTCGCTCCATTGCGAGGTGGACACTGAAATGTGGTCTGCTATCATGGTCAAAAGTCCACTGCGCAGCAATGCGCGCCTGTTTTCGAGCCAAAAGGTCCTGCGGCAGACCTCAATCAGGCTTACTTGTCTGGCTACTGCTACTGGTTGTTAGCGCTTCACCAATGTTGGGGAAAGGACAACTGCACGGGCAGCCATCAGTTGCTGTCTCCTAGTGCGATTGCGCTGTTTCACTATCTCGACCCCCGAATATGCGCCTTCGGGTGCCCTGACTACCCTAGCATATCCCTCCAGGAATGGACAGTGCTTGACATCCCTCGAAGGCATTGGCCGCCACTTGTAGGCGGCGTCGGCCGGCCTTTGCACTGCGATAGGTGAGGCAAACTAGCTTGCTACACCCTGCAAAGGCTCTGTCCAATGCAGCGCAATTGCTGCGGGAGTGCTGCTGTACACAGCGAAACACAGGCTTCGAAAGCCTCAGCACTAATTTCGGCAAGGTGCTTTGGCAAGGATATCTGTGCCAGCGACCGACAATGCGAGAAGACTTGCATGTGCACAATGTTCACCTGTGTCTGCGACAGGTCAATTTTCGGTTAGTTGCTGGCATCGTGCAAAGGCCTTATGCCCGATAAACGCGGTTGATTGGAGCATACTAAGCACCTGGATGCCTGCCGAGTGGAAGCATCCAGCTGGCAAGCCTTCAAGGGGGGATGACACACAACGCATCCATGATTGCTTTGGTCGAGGGGAGGCCTATCTGTGCCAGTCTTTCACTGCTTGAGAGCACGCAAGGGAGGGAGCAGTGCTTAACCTCAACCAAGCGATGCACTTGGCGCAGCCAGGGGCGCTCCCCTTACCACACCATGGGGGGATTCCCAACAAGGACGAGTGGATCCACACACCAGGTGAGCGTAGAGACCGAACCCATTCATTTCCACCCAGGAAGTACAGCGACAACCATACAACCCGAGAGGACGTGGAGACGGAACCCATTCATTTCACCCAAGATGTTCACCGCTCAATCCCAAGGGAAATCCAACCCATGATGCCCCCATTGGTTCCCGGACTCCAGTTCCCCAAAACCGGAGAAGACAATCCAAAAAAAGTGGACAGTCTTGGTCACCTTTTCAGTGACCCCAGTCCCAATGGAGCACAGCTCGGATCACCCGCAGGAGACCCTCACGTGGCCAGACTGTACATCGAGCCCACTCTCAAAGGAGAGAGTGGACCGGTCGGTGACCCAGTCGTTCGCGATCCCATGCACCCCAATGGGGTGCACCTGTCTCACGACAGGACCCTAACACTGTTAGGGAGGAACCGACGGTCTTGTCCACCGTGAGCTTGGCTACCCACGATGAGTTTTGACCGTTAGCCAATGATAGCCAAGCATTGCTAGAGTCAACCGGTTTAGGCGAAGCCTTGCTTTTGTTTCGTCTTTGCATTGACAAGCTGTCAGGGACAATTTTGAGTCAAACACCCTGAACAACACCTAACGGATGCTACCCTGTGAGTAAAGCCCTTTGTGAAGCTCTTCGTCAAAGATCCGAGTCGACAACGCTGAGTAGCTAGACAGTACCCAGGCTGCCACCCAAGTGGTGGTCCTGGATGAATACATAGAGTACAGATGTACAGTGCCTAGGACCTAGGGTAGCGGCGTTTCACTCTGTTTCACGTAGTCCATGCGGCTTGCACGTTTCAACAAGTTTCAAGAACGCTCAAAACGCAAAGTGGAGCTGGTGAGCCTGTCGAGACAATTTGGCCGGTCAGCGATACGCACTGTTGCCTCCCCCTCTCTGTGGGGGCTGCCTCAGCGATGCCTGTCTGTCAATTGTTGCGGTCCTCGAAAACTTGTCGTTTTCGACTGCCGACACTAATATTTTCCATTTGGCTAATGTCTTGTAGCATGACTGGCTGCACCCATGCACCTCGCGCTCTCCCACTGCATTTCCTCGGGATTTTGATCACAGTGAGCCTCCTGACTCGAATGCTATCGTTGTGAGACGAGTGTGCGAATTCAAAGTATCTGTCACTTCGGCGTCAGTGCATGACATTCCGGACCTGTTGCCTGCAAGACTGTGTACTTGGAAGTAAGGCACATAATTGCAAAGATGCAACCTCAGGTAGCTCGTGTACACTCCCATTTCCTCTGCGCACTCTTGGGTGCCTTTCGCACACATTGTGGCTGATCACGATAGCTAAGCAGTCAACTCACTGCCCACGGTGAGGAATACCTCTTTTGCTTGACCTAGACGTACTGAGCGCAAAGAGCGGAATGAATTCATTGCCCCGTTTCACCGCTTTTCACGTTGTTTTGCTTTGGCTCACGCAGCCTACCTGAGATACGAACCTTGCCGCTTTGGGTGTTTGGTGTTTTGTTTTTGGTTGGGTTTGGGCGGTTGTGGTTCGTTCTTGGTCGTTGCTTGGCTCGTATCTCTCCCCATTTAATTCAATCAAGGTGACTTGTGCCTCTCGGCACACATAGCGCCTCCACCCGTGCAAAAATGCACAGCTCATCCTGCCAAGGTAGTCAAAGAGAACACACTCCAAGAAGGAAGATCCCTGCTCAGCTCCAACCCCAAGGACGCGTGTGAGGAGCTTGATTGGCTGCATCACCACTAGTTCCGATCCAGGGACAGGGAACTGGGAGGCAGGGAACTGGGGACAGGGAAGGGACAGGGAACTGGGAACAGGGAACTGGAGCCTGGAGATGGGGAACTGGGGGCAGGGAGAGACAGGGAACTGGGGGAGGGAAGTGGGAGCATCAAAAACTGGGGGGACGACTGTGCAGTCCTTCAACGGTGATTCAGTTTGATGACCACCCGATGTGCAGGGAAGAACACAAGAAGAGCAGCGTTCCAATTTTTGTGGGCAAACTACATCCACTTGCCATCTCAAAGGCACATGGAACCATGTGCTGCAACATTTTTTTCTGCACCACATCTTTCGGTCTTCGAAAAGTCTTGTCGTTTCGCAACCAAACTGTTCTTATGATGCAGCACTGTTGTTGTTGTTGTTGTTCAACTGTTTTCCCTCATGCAGGTTGATAGATGTGCTTGCAAAATTACAGAAATGTTGATAGTTCAACGGCAGTTTCACAGCATCACCAACATCATTAATTCCGATACCTTTAAACGTTGTCTTGTGCTGTTGTCGTTAGGTCAACGGAATTGCAATGCAATTTTTGTGTCTGTTTCAGACAGTATCCCAAGAGATAAAAAAACATGTGGTTGTCAAAGAGATATGTCATGTGGTTGTTAAGTCCACAAACCTACTTGGCCAAGCAACATTTTTTGTTTTTGGGAACAGTGACACTTCCGGCACTTGGTCCCCCAAGTTATCAAATCGCCGCTCGTGGCTCTTCGATGGTTTTTTTCAAATCCACGAAGGTAAAAACAACTGTATCCTTTCACGCTCTTTCTTCTCTCCCCTTGCGTCCTGATTTGGAACGCAGATGGGCAAATGACATCTTCTTGTTCAGTTTCCTCCTTGTTCCTTCTCAATGATGGATATGCATGTTGGTGTGACAAGTCTTGGCAACACGAGGGCTGCTGACAGGGGTGTTGCTGCGCAAGTGAGGATGACCTCTTTGCATTTGCGCCTTTTTGAGGTTTATAGTGTTCACCTTCTCGGGCGCCCAGCACTCCTGGCATAATGCACCAGTTGGACAGCTACACTCACTTGTCCTTTGTTCGGTCTTTTGACCACCAGCTCAAACTGCAACAAGGGTTGCGTATTTGTTCCAGCACAGTTAGTTGCACTGCAGTTTGTCCGCATTGTAGATCAATCAATGCCGAGGACCTTAACACTCCCCATGCCTCGAATTTATGCTATTCTCAATCTCTGCGACTTGTCGATTTAGTTCTCACATTCATTTGTAGTTCAGCCGGTACGCCTATGCTGCTCTTAGTGACTCTTGAATCGCACTTCTTGATGTTTCACTCTTGTGGCTTGATTTTGCTGCAATAGTGCGGCAACCTTGAAAATTTGCACTTGTATTTACAGAAATCTTTCTGCAAATTATGGGCATCTGCAAAGCAAAATAATCCAAGATAGAGGTGTCTTGTTTTCTTTGGTCTTCACCATTCCAATCCACAATACCACATCATGCCAAGGTTTTGCTACCCGGGGGTTTCAGCGCTTACAGTAATGGTGTTAATGTACCATTGAGAGACACATTATTTGTGATGCTCATAATGCAATGACAATTCGTTAGCATGGCAAGCATATTTTTTGTGTGATTGTGTTGTTTGTTGATTTGTGACGCATGTTGCAACCAACCGCAGCCCATTTGGAAGTTGAAACATTAGATTATGTTTCGAACACAATGAGTTGACGACAAAAACGAACCGCCATGCAACGTGTGTTCATTTTGGACAACTGCCCAGCAAAACGCTGTGTATCACCATCGTTGGCTATGTTTCCATCATCCGTCAATTTGCCACGCAAGTCAAAGCAGGAGTCTTGAAGTTCATCCAAAAATGGCAGCACATGAAGGAAGGACAAAGGACATGCAGATCGAGGCGTGATTGCCTTCCCCATCCCTTTCGCATTTCAAGCGAACTTGTAGTTTTCACCGAACAAGAATCTTAGCGCTGGCTCAGGCAGTTGCAACTGCCATCAATTGGGTTGGCCTTTGGGGTGAGGCCGTGCGAGAGGTCGACATGCGGGGAGTGATTGAGCCTCATGGTGCAGGCAGATTTCGACACCCCTTTGAGAAGTGACGCTTTGGCATGGGTGTGGAGCCTTGGTCTTTTCGAGCAGAAATGGCATCCTTCTTTTTTTCTATTCAGGGGCAGGGTAGGCCGCAGCTAGTAGCTTAAGTAGCTCTACTTAGGACGCAGGATAGCGCTCGTACTAATGATTGGGTTCCTAGATTTTTAGGGAGAATTGACAGTAGAAGTTAGAAGTTGTAATTACATATCGGTTCTGAGTGTTATGACAACACTTTGAGAAAGCATATGCATTCCGCATTCCCTTTGGGAACTCAGACCAGCGACGAAGTCCGGCGCTATGTGTCAAGCGGCGGCACGGATGTGCCACAACAAGTACCTGTCTTGGTTTCCCGGGATTTCAATCACTTGGCTGATGATTTGAGTATTTTCCAGGGTTTTGCAAGTGCTGCAGGTGGTCGATGAAGAGGACTCCCCATGTCCTTATACGGGTGCTGGAGCCGCATGGAAGACTGATGTGCCGCAGCCCTTGGATCGGAGGCGTTGTATGATGACTGTTGTCTTTCGGAGCCTCCAGGCCATCTCCTTGGTGGGTGGACTCTCAGCATGAGTCCCAGAGGAGTTTTTTGGAGTGTCGGGGTGAAGTATTGTTGGACTCTGGATGGTGAGCTCATGAGCCCCGAAAACCAGATGAGCGTCAGTCGTGGGGCAAAATTAGCAACAGCCGTTGAATGTTTGAGTCGTTCCACTCATCACTACTATGAGGTTCCACACAGAAGGACCTGCTGATGATGAGTCGATCCCTCGCAAAATAGAAGGATGGTGGAGAGTTTTGGATTACCAGCGAGATCCAGAGGCTGAGGCCAGATGGCAAGCCCATTTGGTTTTGGTCAGTTTCTTGAAACACCTCCTTTTTCATTTTTGCAGGTTGGGGATGACTTGAATGTCAACGAGCTTTGCTTTGTAGAGAAGCTTTGGACAGATCGTGTTCGAGTATTCAAGGCAGGTCCCTGCTTCAACATGTCTTGCCCAGAAAGTGTTCACCATGAAACATTTTGGTCAAAACAATTGCATCTGGATGCCAGGCAGGCCAATCAGGTCCAGCAGGTGAAGTGCCTTTGTCACGGGTGACTAGCTTGAAAGGTTAGTCGTTCCCACTGGATCAATGGAACTTCTATTCGTTTTTAAGCCTTTTTTGAACTTTGAACTCTATAGTCTATAGTTATAATATGTTTTGCAATGTTTCTCCATTGAGGTTTGCGATTTGCAGCTGATGCAGAGGGCTTCGAATTCTGTTGGATCAAGGCGTGGATCACAGGGCTGGCCTGCCGCGAAACCATTTCCGTGGCACTCCGATTGACCACATGAAAATGTCAGACAAAATTCTCCACACATAGGGTGCTGTTTTTTAATGGCCTTGTACCTTGTAGAGTTGTCTTTGGCACCCTTCATGGATAGGACTTTAGAGCGGAATTCTGATCTGTTCTGTTTACAGTTTACTGAAGCCTTTCTGCATGTTCTCATGCTGACAGTTGGGACCTTCTTCGTGATGTTGGGGAAGGTGGTGAGTGCCTTGGAATGTCCATTTGTCTTTCATCCGGTTGTTACACCAGTTCCGTGACCAGGTGACGACCCAGATGAGATTCAAGTAGGGCAGAAGAGAGTTCTTCTCGGTGGAGAGTGCCCCTACGTCTTGAAGTACACCTGCTTATGTATGCTTTTGCACTTGTCTCATGTCTAGTTGAATCTCCAGGTATGGGACCTTAAAGTTGAAGGGCCTTGAGTGCGAGGTTTTAAGCTATGTGGAATGGATGGACAGGTCCGCCTTTTCAAAGTGACAACATGATCACTGACATGGTTTAATTTCACATAAGAGAATACGTGATGAGGTGGACTGTCGAGATTCCAGTGAAAGATCAGAAAGGCAAGAACTTGGTGGTTGCGGACTCCTTAGTAAAGGGGTAGCAGCCAATAACAGCATTCTATTGTCAACATCGATTCCTCGGTCCTCAAGGCTGTTATTCCTGCTCAACTTCGGCAACCAAAGCTTCCAAGAGATCCTAAGAGAAATGCTCAGGCAAGGACTGGATGCCAGAGCTCAAACGATGTTGAGATGCTTTTTCGTTTCTTGGAATGTTGAGTTTCCCTAAACATCTAGGAACCAAAACATTAGTGCGAGTGCTTCTTCAAGGAAGCTCCCCCCGCCCTCAGAAGAAGCGTGAGTTATCCTGCATCCAGCTACTAGAAGTTAACTTGCTCTAGTAGCTTACTAGTCCCTTACTTAATTAAGTAGGCGCCTACGTAATTATGTAGGGAGGGGAGCGGGCTTTAAAACAACAAGCATGCTTCGATTCCACAAACTGCTGAATCGAACAAGTATGCGGCAAGGTGAATCTAGGTGTTGCCCTTCGATCTCGTGCCTTAGAGCTGTGCTGGCGACAGGCCGTTCAAAAACGCAAATTGGTCAAAGTCACTATTTTGCATTGTAGGCCGAGAGTGATGTAGCAACAGGAACCAGTAGTGGAAGCCGTTGCGAGCTTACAAAACATTGCAAGCTTACACAACGTTGCAAAACAAATCTTTAAAATGCATTTGACCAAGTGAACTTATTATTGTTCTCTTGTGCAAGCTGTGGCATTTTAAATAAGCGATATAAGTCCGAAGAGATATCATTACATCCTTGACATTCATTGCTGAACCTAGGATGGGTGAACAGTCCAAAGCATTGAACACATTGAAAACTATTGCTCTAGATTGCGGTTGCTCTAGATTGCGGTTGAGGTAGCAAGTTTCGGCTGCAGCTGCACTACGTGAGTTGGATGCCCAGTTTCAACCAGCTTGAAACAGCCAAAGGCCTTGAAGTGTTTTGTGGGCCGAGGCCGAGTAAGGCCAGGGGGCAGAGTCTGGACATCTTGCCCTGACTCCTTGTACAAATATGTTGAGGTGGGCGACAGAGAGGGCAGCTGAAGATGCTGAGTCTTCATCTATATACAAGGTTCTGAAGATGGAGGTATATGAAGGTCCAAGATCTTCCAATGCTTTACATACAGGTCTTATCCAGATATCACATGAACGTTTGAGAGTTGAGCCGTTCGTGGGCGAGCTTCCGCCTGAGCGAAGGTGCGGTTTGTCGCTTCTGGGGACTACGGCTTGGTCTATCGAGTGCTACGGATGGTGGACTCATCGAAGCAGGCACTGGATATCGAACGGGAGCTTTCGAACGCGGCTCCAGCGGCTCCAGGCGTTTGAACGGGATGAGGAGGATCCACATTTGGTCCTGGACATTCCACGAGGTTCAGACCGAGCTACCATAATCAAAGCTTATCGCAGGCAGGTCAAGCACTCACTTTCTTTTGAACCAGCCGAGGATTGCAAGCTTTGCAACTTCATGAAATGAAGTATAGATGAATTTGTAGATAGTGCTTTTTAACTTGACAACAAATTGCTAGCGAAGGCTTGCAAGACGGTGGCATCCAGATAAAGTCAAGGAAGAGGAGCACGAACAGGCGGAGCATAGGGCTGGACATTTGCATAGCGCATTAGGAATATTTGTTAAATTCCTTTCTTCTTTTCTTTCATACCATCGAAAGCGATCATTTCTCCAGGCTGTTCAGGAGTTCAGAAGAGCTCATCAAGCCTACGAAAACTTGCTCGCAGATCCAGAAAGGAGCAAGGAGCCAAGTGGGCACCAGAAGCACTTTGCCAACACTTTTACTTGCAGGCTGTTGGAGGGTTGGCGTGTCGGGCGTATCGAGGTTCAGACCTAATGGTGCTGAAGACTTCCCGGCGAGATTACACTCTTGACGGTGCTTTGCGTGTCTGGAATCTGGAATTTGCATGATTTGCTCAGGATGCAACATCCTTTTCCACCTCGGAAGAAGTTGCCTCAGCTATAGGTGTGTCTATTCCACAAGAGCCTTTTTCCTGGTGAAGACAGATGGATGGTATGAGGCCAAAACGAATTACTATTCCGATGGCATTTCAAACTGAGGCCGCGCTTTCATGATATGCGAGTTGCATTGCACTGGATGATATGGCTTTGACAAAAAGTCTTGCACAACGCATGTTCTTTCGCAATCAAGCAATCCAGGCGAAATGCTTGAGCTTGGTCTCTCAATTGTCGAGATCTAAGAGTTTTGCAAGGTTCACGTCCGTCCGTCTTTGGGGTGTTTCGTCAAGTTAAGGAGATTGGCAAATGTCCAGAAGCTGGTTGAAGTGGGGCCGAACATCGAGTGCTGACCTAAAGTCGCTAGGATTGTCGGGATGCTTCAAATCTTGTTTGGTTGAATAGCCTTGCATTGCTTGTACTTCATAGCTTTTCCCATGACACATGAACTTAAACTTCAATTTTTGGTCCACCGAGTCCGCCTTCAATTGGAGCCTTTGAATCTTTGAGGTTCATTGTGAGCTGGCCATACTTGCCAGAAGCGCTGATTCCCGCCAATCAATGTGACGGGATCAGCCAGGTTTGGAGCTCGTCATGATTTCGCATCACGATACACCTGTGCGGCTTGCGCGGTTTCGACGAGGGTTGCGCGCGGTTTAGGTGGATCGAGTGGATCTTGTGAGAAAAGGATGGCTCTACTCCCAGCATTCTGACCTTCGCATTCGCAACTTTTACATGTTCCTTACCATGTTGAAGTCGCAAGAAGGTCAGACTACTCGAGATCACGGCATTCTGCTCGGAGCTTGAATGGTATACAAGCGCAAAGAAACCTTCGCATTCTCGGGGTATTCCATTCCTTTTTGAGAAAATCGAGGCACAGCAGATCATTCGCATGATGGTCTCAATGATCAGGCGTGACAAAAGTCACTTTGGACCGAAGTCACTTTGGTGGTGTTAGGCATGACGTGATGATTGTCGACCCGATACAGAACATCATTGTCGATCGCGAAAGTGGTGAACCTCTCATGATCGATTTTGGCAGAGGTACGCTTTGCCGGTTCGACGCTGATTTAGAAGCAAGTGCATCGCTACTAGTAACAACGGCATTACGGTATTACTACTAGCAGCTAGAAGCTACTAGTAACAAGGGCATCGCTACAAAGATCGAAGATGGATCGCAGTGCGCAAGTTTGCAGGTGAAACTGCTGGATCCATTTACACCACGAGGATCAAGACCTTCATGAAGAAAGTTCTGCAGTGTGATCCTTACACTACGTACCAGCCGGTCTGAACGAGAGTAGGGCCTCAGTAGGGCTGTTTGTTTTCACCCTGCTGATACATGATAAGTATATAGAGATTTGAGAATACTCAGGGCCTCAGGGCACAGGCGATGAAATGCAACAGATGGATTTTGAGCAATTTAATTGGTTTGGGGGTGAATGCCCTGGCTGCCCAGCTGCAGTGGCTGCTGCTGTTGCTGCTCCGGGAGACCACTGTTGGGTCACGGTCGCTTGTGTTATGTCATGTTATGTTTAGATCTGCCAATCCAAGGCTTTTGGCCAGAAGCGTGTCCAAATCCAGCTACGATGTCGCGCGATTCTTGGAGATGAGCATCGAAGCCGGAAGACCTGAGAGGAACTGGAAAACTTGCACTTTTGAGGCCGCGAGATACATTACGTGCCTGGAAGACACACTATTTGAATGTTGGAGGCTCAGTAAGACCCGATCGCAGATCAGCAACGCGATCTCAGTTTTCTTTTATTCCCACCAACCAGGCCTTGAGCGATGGCAAGATGAAAAAACCCGTGACCAGCGTAAGGTGGGACACGCAGGATTTCAGATTTTACAGCGTTATTCATGCAATTCCGGCATGCATCCATGAGCTGTTTGTGCATGTTCACGTACCGCCGCTAGGGCCCTTGAGCATAGACCAAAAGGGTGTGCAGCCCCTTCGTTCATGTCGTCGTGAAGCCGACACTCCTTTCGTGGGTTTGAGCACCGACCCCAAGCTCCACATACCCTACAATCGAACCCCGTCGATTGCATTGGTAGCGTGCACCTGCACGGTGCCTAGTGGCTCGCAGCGGCCCTACCATGGACCTCATCAATGAGGATGAAGAGGACAATGTGTCCTTGCTGTTGGAAGAAGAGGATGATGAGGAAGAGTACCAAGAGGAAGCAGAAGAGGAGATCTCTGCCGAGCACGACGCCCCTGCTGAGGACGATGGTGGCCCTTCACCTTCGGCTCCAGCGGTGACTCGCTCAGGTCGCAATGGACCGAGATCTTCGACCCCCTCAGTTGCTGGCAGCTCCAAGTCGCAAGACCATAAGAGTGCGGCCAGTCCGGGACCTAGCCCCAGCAAAGACTCTTCCAGGTCAGCTTCGAAGTCTCGCGGTCCTGAAGATCGTGGTTCTCAGAAGCGCCCTCGCGGGAATCTCCCGCCGGCGCCGAAGTTCGATGGTGACCGCAAGGCCAATCCAAAGTGCTTCAAGGTTTGGCTCGGGAAGGTTGATTCCTATGTCGAGATAGCCCGCAAGATCATCGATGACTCGGAGATTGGGCTTCGACTTCATGCAGCCTTGGAAGGCAAAGCAGCCGAGTTCTTGGAGGACGTGCCCGCTCGCACCTTTGGCAAGGTGGACGGCTGGAGGATCCTTTTGAGGGTCTTGCAGGACAAGTTCGACGAGCCCCAGGTCCACAAGATCGGCAGCGCCGTGAAGGGTTTCTTCAAGATGCAGTTGGGTTCTGGCTCTTGCACTATGCGGGAGGCAGCCGACGCCTTGGACAAGGCCCACCGAGACTGCAGAGACACTGGTTTGAGCGTGCCGGATGCCGTGCTGATCTACTGGTACTTCGAGCATGCCGGAGTCAGCCAAGAGAGACAAGCCAATTTGCTCCTCCGTACGAACGGAGAGTACAACTGGAAGTTCATGAAGCAGGCCATCGACGTCCTCCAACCGTCACTACACCCACAGGCCGGCTGGTAAAGGCCGTGGTGCACACGAGGCACACACTGTGGATCAGCAGCAGACCGATGAGGTTTCGCTGCCCAGTTGGGATGCTTCAGAAGAACAGCTAGAAGGCTGGCTGATGGACTACGACCCTGTCGAGATGCTGGCGGACGTCGAGATGAACGGGGGCGTCCCTGAGGATTTGACTCGCGAGCTCCACCACTGCTTCGCGACCCACCGCGAGAACAGGCAGAAGCTCGCCAAGGCCGTGAAGGCCAGGGGATTCTATGTCTCCGGATCCTCGAATGCTGGCAAAGGCAAGAAGGGTCAGAAAGGCTCCAAAGGCAAGAAGGGCAAGGGATCTTCGAAAGGCGGCGGCAAAGCTCGTGGAGGCATGACTCTTCAGGAGTTGAAGGCCGTCACAACTTGCGGTGACTGCGAACAAGTCGGTCACTGGCGTGGAGATCCAGAATGCCCCAAGCAACGACGTGGTGCACATGAAGCAGGTCGCGAGGACGACTATGATCCTTGGGATGCTGACTGGTACGACGACGCTGACTACAAGTGGGATGATGGCACTTGGGACGAGTTCCAGGAGAACCAAGCGCGTGCTGCGCACACTGCCACTCGTCCTGCGCAGGTCAAGCCTACCAGAACTCCACCTGCGCCAACTTCGTTGTCAGGTCGCAAGCTTGAGCCAGCTACATCCTACCGTTCCTCTTCGGCGACACCCGCGGACGAGAACCAGGTGAAGAAGGTGGCGCGGAAAGTTGAAGCTCTCCGCAAGAAGGCAAAGCCCGATGCCTCTCCTTTGAGCCTTGGCGCCGTGCGAGAAGAGCTGGCCAAGGACAACACCTCGAGCAGCTTTGTCGCGACTGAGGCCGTGAAGACCTTCATCGAGGACGCTCGTGTGAAGAGCACCTACAGTCGTGCACCAGCTGTTGCGTCAGTCGCGGAAGCCATCCGCCACTATGACAATGACACCTATGAGGAGGTGGGATCGGCATGGACTTTGTTGGCCGGTGACAAGAAGCAGAAGGCACCGGACATTGAAGCTCTTCGCCAACCTCGTCGCAACTTCATGACCCGTCGAGTTGGTTGGACCAATGTGGAGACCATCCCGGACTCCGACGATGAGGAACTCATGACAGAGCAACAGATCCACCGGCATGTCAGCTCCCTGACCAGGCGAGCACCAACTGTGCAAGACGGCCGACGCTACATCACGATTGACACCGCGTGCGAGAACACTGTCTGCGGCTCTAGCATCTTGGATCTGATTGTTCGACGCTTTTTGGAGGACTACCACATCGTCCCCAAGATTGAGACTGAGTCGGAACGCTATTGTTTTGGCCCTGGTGAGCGGATCACATCGAGCACGAGAGTCAGTTTGCCCATCGCAGTGCAAGGCGTGGCCATGGTGGTCAACACATCCACCATCGAGCAAGCGCCAGGACGTGCTCCAGTACCGTTCCTGGCAGGCCAAGATTGGCTTCTTTTTGTGAAGACCATCATCGATGTGGGCGCTGGCACTTTTTCCATGCCTGACATTGGAGTCACGGCACCTTTGTTGATTGACCACACTGGTCATGTGGTCATCGCCATCGATGAATTTCCTGATGGCAAGTGGCCGCACGGCTTGAACCCCAAGGCCATCGGCTACGAGGGCATCGTTTTCGACCCTTACTGGGCCGACAGTTCTCAGCCCCTCGACGTTGACAAAATCTTCGTCAACGAGGGACCAGACCCTCTCGCTGGCCGTGAAATCTACGCGTCCGACCGCTTTGACCGCTTTGAGTCCACCAAGTTTGAGTCCACCAAGTACCACCTGAAGACTAGCCCCAACTATTTCTATGAGCCCAATGATGACGACTTCCTTTCCGACCAGAACCTCACTAGGGGCCCCTGCACGGTGAAACCAGACTATTGGGAGTTTCAGTTTGACAAAGGCATGATCATCCGCCACCACTGCAGGCCGAGAAGTTGCCTCTTCAGCCCTACGGACGACAGGTCCGGGCCTGATCCCGATACGTTGTCGTTCGATCGGGTTACTGTGGTGAAGGGCTTCAAAGATGTGGTTCGAGATGTTTGGACTCCGCTCGAAGCTCAACAAGAACTTCCTTTTGTTTGGACCGGCTTCACAGTTTTGTTTTTGAAAGATGTGTCAGTGCAGAGTCATTCACTTTTTCAGCCACAACCTGTAGCCGGCGTGGACATTGTTTTTCCTGGTGGCAGTGAACATGTGGTCAGCGCCAAAAGTCTTCAACCACATACCAACAAGAGGATTTTGCAGTTTGACCTCGATGTCACTCCTCCCATCTTCGAGCGTGCCCCCAGCAAGAGGTCTGACAGGTTCACGATCCCACCGAAGCAATTCGGCTCTCGAGCAGCCTCTCAGCGGCAGCTCACTCGTGAACATCGTCTTCGACCAGGTCTACATGGGCAAGCAAGCTCTGAGGGCATGGCAGCGCCTGATCATGGCCATCGAACGTCTTTGGATGCTCCTGGCCAGGTGGGAAGGCATCAATCTCGCCATCAGAGAGTTCAAGCACCGGTCTCCGGCCCTGATGGGCTACATGGAGGCAATGATGCGCCAACAGCAGCAGATGCCAGCGACGGTGCCGCCGGCGACGACCAAAGCAGCGGGTCAGACAGCCAAGGCCTTGCAATCGGCCTATCCGCTGCAGATCCCTCATTGCCCCCACGAGGTGGCGTCAGCTCGGCGCCTGGGCAATGCTCATGGGAAGTTTCTGGAATGCCTGGACTGCGGGCTGCTGAAGAAAGCTCTTCCTTCGGACTACACGGTGCCGATCAGCAAGGAGAAGGTCCCCGCGTATGCCTACCTCCACGGCTATCGTCAGCAGCCAGGCGCAAAAGCAACAAAGTTCGTCCTCAAGCCAAAGGAGGCGGCGTACTATGGCAACTTGGCCGATTGCCACTCGCTGTCCTCGCAACCGGCTTTGGAGGTTTCCATCAACGATGTGGTCTTGAAGAGGAAGGTGGACCCCAAAGCCAAGAGCAAGACCAAGCCAAGGCAATCTTCGCCGAAGCGCTCCTTGGCGACAGCTTCCAAGGACGAGGACGACAGCTGGGACAAGGTGATGGAGGTCAGCGACGAGGAGGAGTTCGATGGCTAGACGAACATGCTCCTGATCCCGACGATTGGCATCACCTCAAACCCGGCGCCCAGAGATGGCTGAAGCGCAACATGAGGCGAGCGCTCGCCATGAGCCGGGCCTCTCGCAAAGCAGTGCAAGACAAAATGGCTACCTCCAGTTGGCCAAGACGGACCTTTGGGTATGACATCATCGAGATCTTCGGCGGCGCTTCGATGATCTCACTTCGAGCAGGCCGCAACTGGGGATTGAAAGTCTTGCAACCTATCGACATCAGGTACGGTGTCGACCTTCGGCAGCGCAAGTGGAGACGTTGGCTCTTGCGCAAGCTAGATGTTTGGAACCCTCGCCTGGCCATTCTCGAGTACCCTTGCACCGTTTGGTCGATCCTGCAGCGCAACTGCAACTACCGAGACCGTCCAGAAGAACTCGCTGAACCTCAGGATGCCGACCGACCTTTTCTCCGGTTGTGCAAGGACGTGTTTGACAGTCAGATCCGGCGACATGGCCATGGTTTGTGTGAGAATCCAGCAACTGCGGACTCCCAGAACGAGGAGGACATCATGGCTCTTCGTCGGCAACATCATGAAACCACTTCGTGCCTGTGCCATTTGGCATGGCAGGACGACATGGCTTGCCGATGCTCAAGAGGGTTAGGTTCTTCATTGCCACTCACAAGCACTTCACCGACACCCTCAACCGGAAGTGCGACTTCAGCCATGAACACGAAGCAGTTGCAGGTTCCAATACAGCATTGTCAGCAGCATATCCACCTGACTTGGCCGATGCCATCTGCCGGGCTTACTTGGAGATCAACGAGGAAGAGGATTTCGGCTTGAAGCACACTTGGGACACCTATGAACCGCGAAGCTCCTACTTCGTGGACGTCGACCGCACAGAGGACAAGTGGATGCCCCTGTTCGACCTTGTGCAGGAGCAGCTTGCGAGAAAGGCGCAATCATGTTTTTGGACCCTTCCACCGACCTGTTCAGGAAGATTCAGGCCTTGACTCCCTGGCAGATCGCCAATGTTCAACTGTCTCATCTACCAAAAGCCAAGCGGGTGAGACTGATGCTCAACGATGGTTCCTTGACCATTGAGACCGAGTACTTGCCGGACGCTCAAGCACCTCGTGAACGTTTTGTCACTCCAGTTCGTTGGGCCATCTTCATCCTTGGGTATGCCCCGGGTGAGCCAAAAGAACCTTCACCAGCGGCGCCAGCTCCTGAACAACATCTACATGAAGACCTTGTTGCGGTGGACGACCCCGTGCACACCGCTCTTCAAGAAGAAGGCTTGGTGCGGCAAGATTTCGCTGGAGAATGTTGGTTCGTGGGCCCTCCGCTGACCAGTGCTCAGAAGAAACTGGCCGTTTCATTGGTCAGAATGCATCGCAACCTGGGCCATCCAAGACAGCCTGATTTCACAAGGGCTTTGGCTCAGCAAGATCGACTAGAACCAGAGGTGTTGGCTTTGTCACGCCGTTTGAGGTGCGCTACATGTGAGAGAACCAAGAGGCCTTTACCTCCGAGACCTTCCTCACTGAAGAGCACACCACCGTTCAACACCAAGCTCTCCATGGACTTTGTCTACCTCCATGACGTGGATGGCGAGAAGTTCAACTACTTGCACGTGCTAGATCCAGCTGGCGGCTTCAATGTTTTCGCCTTGGTGCCGAACCGTGAGCTCGCCACCACTCTGGACACCTTCGCCATGTCTTGGACAAATTGGGCCGGTTTTCCAAAACAGATCCGCCTCGACAGAGATGGCGCCTTTGAGGGCATCTTGCAAGAGAAGCTGACCAACATGGGCATCGAGCTGGACTACATTCCCGCTGAGGCTCATTGGCAGTCTGGAGATGTTGAAGCCTTCAACCGGGCGTTCCGCAATGTTGGAAACCGCCTCATCGATGAGTTCCAGGTGAAGGGCGAGCAAGACATGCGCCTTTTGGGCGCGCAAGTGGCAGCCTCTCTCAACGACAGAGTCCGCATGAGCGGAGCATCCGCAAACGAATGGGTCTTCGGACGGAACCCTTCCTTCCCTGCGGACCTCCTTGATTTTGACGGCAAGGCAGAAGCTTTGATGGGCATGGGCCGGGACTCCCAACTACGCTGGAGGCAATCAGCGCGATCTCGCGCTGACACCCTGATCTCCGAGTACCGGACCAATGAAGCCTTGCAGAAGGCAGTCATGAGACAGAGTCGACCACCTCGCCAACGTTATGAACCTGGTGAACTGGTAGCTTTTTGGAGGAACATCAAGAAGAAGAAGGGCAAGCTCGTGCAACCGGGCTGGTTCAGAGGCACGATCATCCGGCCTCAGAAAGGCTCAGAAGAAGGCAAGCAGTCCAACTACTGGATCACCTCCAACGGCAGATGCGTCCTGGTCTCTCTCGAACAACTTCGACCAGCCTATGGGACAGAACTCTGGCCGATAGCTGAAGATGATTTGCAATGAATGGTTGGAGGACAACATGCCCGACGGCTACTACGACGAGAGAGGAGATGCACCCATGCTGGACGATGACCAGGAGATCAAACATGAAGCCATACAGGTTCCCTTTTACGAGCCTGCTGGCCCCGAGGAGAAGTCGGAAGAGACACTACCACCTCCTCAACCTCCTGAAGTTCCAGCTGGACACCAACAAGTACCAGATCAGCCGGCAACTTCGTCAGCGCCTTCAGATGCGACTCAACCGCATCAGAGCTCGCGCTTGCACTCGCGTGCTCCAGGCACACCCATCTCGGGCCTATTCAAAGCCCACCACGAACGACAAGCAGTGCAAGAGCCTGAGTGCCAGAAGACGAAGACTTTGACATGGGCCTTGAACCACCTCCTCGCCCACTACATGAGACCGATAGTGTGCCGCAGGTGAGTTCAGTGCTAGCGGCAGCTCTTGCAGACGACAAATGGCATGTCTCCAATGACCGCGTGTGGTTGGTGAGAAGTCACAACAAGCCGAGACGGCGCCTCTTTTCCCCTTTTGAGGCCATGGCTTCACCGGTAAACCCACACCGCTTGGGACAAGCTCGACAGACCAAGCTGAAGTTTGTCAATGCCACCTTCACCTATGACCCCGACTCCGCGAAGGACCAGATCGTCGAGGACACTTGGGAGAAGGACAAGATGCAACCAGATAAGGGTCGTGCTTGGGTTGGCAAGACGCGCTTCCGCATTGCTTGCGCCACGCGGAAGGAGCTCAAGCAACTTGAGAAGGAGATCCCATGGCACCTCATCCCAGACGAGGAGCGCAAGGGATACCGTGAAGCTCTGGTCAAAGAGTGGAGTGTTTGGCTCCGCTATGGCGCGGTTGTGGTCTTGGACCTTGAGGCCTCCCGCTACATCGAGGACCACGTTGATGCTGCACGGATCCTCAACACCAGGGTCTGCTACAGAAACAAGAATGCAGCGTATCCCTGGCTCCCTGTGAAGCACAAAGCTCGTTTGGTTTGCCGTGGTGACCAGGACCCTGACTTGACCACACTCCGGAGAGACGCTCCGACCATGAGCAGGGCTGGAATGTTTTGTTTGCTTCAATTGGCAGCTTCACATCCAGGTTGGTTCCTGTTCAACTCCGACATCACCGGAGCTTTCCTTCAAGGAGATCAGAGCTTGGCCGCCAGGAAAGAACCTTTGTTCCTGAAGCAGCCTTGTGAGGGCTTGCCTGGCATGCACCCAAAGCAGCTGATGATGGTGGTCCGCGGCATCTTTGGTTTGGCAAACTCGCCAAGACTTTTCTGGCGACACCTGAGGGACACCTTGATCAAGATCGGCTTCCGACAGAGCACACTCGACCGGGCCATGTTTTTCTACTACAAGGATGAGCGCCTCATTTTGGCCCGTGGTGCACATGTCGACGACCTCCTTGGCGCAGGTGAGCCCGGCACCGCTGATCAGGTGTTGGATCAGATCAAGCAAGCATTCGACTTTGGAGCATGGGCTGATGACCGGACCGACGACGTCCTCGAGTACGGTGGCAAACAGATCCGCCGCAAGTCCGATGGCGCGATCCTCCTCAGTCAGGACAAGTTCATCAGGGCTACATCAGTGACCCCACTGCCAAAGTGGCGTTCGGCTACACCTAATGCCCCATTGCTGGCATCAGAGATGACCGAGCTGCGGAGTGTGGGCGGTTGCTTACACTGGATCGTGGGACAGACACGTCCCGACCTTGCAGCGGGCACCTCCATGCACATGTCAGGTCAGCCGACCGTCGAAAGCTTGCTGCAGTTAAGCTTCTCAAAGAGGCCAAGCAGTCCGAAGATTGGGCCTTGCAGTTCCGCCCCATAGACCTGGAGAAGTCCATGGTGGTTGTTTTTTCGGACGCCAGTTTCGCCAACACAGAGGGCCTTCGGTCGCAAGCCGGCTACCTCGTGTTCGTGGCGGAAGACACGGCTTTGACAGCCGATGGTGGTCGTGCTTCCTTGATGGATTGGCGATCTCACAAGATCAAACGCCAATGCCGTTCCACGTTGGCAGCTGAGACAATGAGCCTCGATGCAGCTGTGGACTCCGGCCTTTACATCCGGGAGATCCTTGCTGAAGCTTTGATTCAGGACTATGTTCCTTGCCAGTCAGGTCGCTTGCCAGCTTCCTTCATCCCGATGGCGGCCGCAACGGATTGCAGAAGTCTGTACGACCTGTTGGTCAAAGACAGTGCTTTGTCCACCACCCAGGAGAAGAGACTGGCAATAGACATAGGTGGTCTCAAAGAGACAGCCGCAGAATTTGATGAGCAGCAGGAACAGTTGGCCGATGTTTACAAATGGGTGGATACGCACCACCAAATGGCCGACCATTTGACCAAGCAGAAAGCGCCTGCTTTGCTCAGAGAGCTGTTGGATGAGGGTCGGATTGCACTGAAAGCGGTCGAAACGAGTTCTCACGAATTTTCACATAACAGGGAGTGCAATTCCGGCATGCGTCCATGAGCTGTTTGTGCATGTTCACGTACCGCCGCTAGGGCCCTTGAGCATAGACCAAAAGGGTGTGCAGCCCCTTCGTTCATGTCGTCGTGAAGCCGACACTCCTTTCGTGGGTTTGAGCACCGACCCCAAGCTCCACATACCCTACAATCGAACCCCGTCGATTGCAATTCAAAGAGGTAAACACACATGTTTGTCCCTGCAAGGCAGTTGCTGTTGTTGCTTCGTCAACCAAATGGCAAGAAGGAATTGAATGCTGCCGCGAGTGGGACGCTTGTGGTGAATGCAAGAGGTGTTTCATGTGTCAAGGATGGGATCAGTTTTGGCTTTGCACATTCAGGATTTGGCACAATGAAGACGAGAACCCCTTCCGCAAGATGTTCAAAGACCAGAAGGATGCGTGGGTTCATACTTGGAACTGAGCAACAAAAGGTTTGCAAGTTCCAAGTGTCAGGATGTACTACCAGAAGACCGGGTGCTGCGAGAGGCAAACGCTTTCAGGGGCTTTCAGTGCAAGAATTTCAAGACTTCTTTGCACCAGCGATGAAAAGTCAGAAAGGCTCGACCTGCTGAACAAGATCCAGAAAGTGATGAAGAGCCCGAGGTGATTCGATTGGTCTTTCTTTTCAGCTACATCCTGCTTCGTTGCTCAGGGCGAGGACGTCGATGATGATCCAGAAGGTTCGGCTTCGAGTTTAGCTTGACTTGGTTGGAGATTGAGGGCTGGAAACTGCAGAAAAGATTTCTTGGACCTCTCAAAGCCTAGGTCTCTGTGATGCGGACATCAATACACTTACGCCGGTCGGTCTCCCAGCTGCCTTGGACCTTGGACTTTCCAGGACACCTCCCACCGGGACACTAAGGTGCAGCTTTTGCTGCGGGCGAAGCGCAAGAAGAGCAGACGGGCAAAGCTACCAAAAGAAAAACCGAATGCAGTGGACTTAGACGAATTACCTGGGAGCTTTTGTGGGGCTGAGAGTGAATTTTTTCGAGGTTACTATTCATGTCGCAGAGACTTTGCCAGATGGGACACTGGGCCTAGGTGAAAGCTGAAGTTTTCTTTTTCCTCTCAGCATCTCTCAGCTTGTTGCTTCTAATCAACTTTTTGCATGTCGTCTCTCTGGGATTTTGAGCAGTTTCTCCTGAGCCCCTGATCTGCAGGGTTAGATGATGCGGACGAAGAGCTCCGAGGTGCTTCTTTTTGTTTCATTGGGAGCCGTTGGTTTTTTGGAAGTCAGGTCTTATGGTGGTGGCGCGGCGGCAAAATCCAAGAAATCCCAATGTAGCACTCCATTCAAGTGCCTGCAGCATTGCTGCCTTCCAAAATGTTTTGGCACTTGGACAAGGTGTCAATTCACCGCAAAAGTGAGCACTATGGCTGGCAACTAGGAGTCATTCTCCATTTGATTAGATCTCCTACAAGGACCGCCTCATTGAGCTTCAGGAGACCGCATCATTGAACTGAACGGCCATATGATTGACGAGTGGGATGACTTCAAAGCAACATGGGCTGCTGCGAAGCAGTACTGGACTCAAATCCTGCGAAAAATGAGTTGGACTCATTGATCTCCTGTTGACACTGCCTTCCTTTTCGAAAGGGAAGTCCTGTTCAAGATTTGTGATGGGACTAAGGTTCAGTACCACAGGGGCAGTCTTTGGAGTCGTCCGCGAGGGTGTTGAGTGCCTTTCAGAGGTGGAACCGAGGCAGGACGAAGGAAGATAGCATTTGTCTCTTTGAGTTTTGATTGTTATTTGTTCAATTTTGCTCGTATATAAATGCTCGTCTTTGGATGAACGGAGGTGTTTGCACTGTGGTGTCAAGGGCAAACATTTGCCTGAAGTCCCGGACGACTTCGACTTCGAAACGGCGTTGAAAAGAAACGTCTGCCCAAGGCAACGCTGCTCCAACTGGGCTTGGGCCGAGGGCGAGGCACTGATCTCAGTGATTGGGATCCAAAATCTGCTTAGGCGACTGCCAGAGAGCCGTTCCCAGGTGTTCTTCTGTGGCAGGGACTGTCAGAAGGAAGCTTGGACTGCTGCGAAGAGGAAGGCCGCATTGTTTTCTTTTTTCCAGCCTGTCAAAGCCCTGCATAGTTGGCCTGTGGTGTTTGTTTTCTGAAGGGAACACCTTTGTTCTTGAGTGCCTAAGCAGATTCAGGTCTGCTGTCACTTGGACAAACATGGCACTTGCCACATCTTGTCACAGGCGTGAGAGTGCATCGAGTGTCGTGCAGAGGCGAGGAGATGTTTGACCCTGTTGGCATTTTAACGACTAAACCATTAGACCTTTGGTCCACTATCTTCATTTTTACTATCTTCATTATCTTCCTTTTCTTTTTTCCGTGTTTCCACTAGCGATGGTCTCCAACCTACTAGTCATTCAGCTGGTGATACCTTTGCATGGCCTGCTCCATAGGAAGCTTCTTGAAAGGTGGATCAGCAGCTCAAGGTGACGAAAAGAAGTGCCAGCACCTTTAACTGCAAATCTTTGCTTTTGTTCTCTTTTGCAAAGCTCAACCGTTCGCAGCAAGACTTCTCTTGGGATCTTGGCGACACAACTTGAAAAGCACTGGCTCACAGCCACAGACACAATAGATGGAACAGAAAAAGATCCACGAAGAATCCCAGAGCTCCTCAACATTAGCTTCAGAATTCCAAACAAAAGGCTGACGTATTCAGAGAGCTGTTCAGAGCTGTTCGCATTGACGATCTAATCATGTCTACATTTTTTTGACGTTTTCTTTTTTCCACTTGGCAAGCCCCAAAGGGCTGCGTCCGGAAGTGCAGGACAGAGTGACAAAAAGTCAGTTGCATTTGGCATATTTTGAAGGACAGAGTCATTTTTATATGTTTTGGTCCTGTTTTGGTCCATTGGTTTTGATGGATCAAGGGAAATGCCATCGTCCAGGATGGCATCCTCTGCGCCGATCGACTTCGCATCAGGGGACCATTACACGGTTCTCGGGGTGGCGCGCAATGCTTCAGAGGTTCACTGTTTTAGCGTGGTTCACTTTGGTGCTTTTGGGATCAATGGAGAGCAAGTATTTTTTCTTTTGCGAGGCGGAGCTGGCCAAAGCCTACAAAATGTTGGCGCTTCGATACCACCCAGACAAGAATCAGGGAAACACTCAAGATGCGGAGGCTGGGATGGCCACAGTTAGTTGAAGGACTCGCAGACTCGCATCAATCCTTCGTGCCAGATCGGCTTTAAGCGAATCTCTGAAGCCTACAGCGTGCTGAGAGATCCAGAAAAGCGGGCAGAGTGCGCCTGAATTTCCCAACAGCTCTTCCTTGTTGTGTTTCCGACCGTCAGGTATGATCGATCTGGTGGCATTCGGTCATATGCCGCTCGTATTGAAAGATCTTCCAATCTTTTTTTAAATAATTCTATTTTTATTTGCTCTGTGTGCTCTCACCGTCTGAGGTGAGCTATGAAGAGGCTGAGCAACTGTGGCGGCAATTCTCATCCCAAGATGGAACTGAGGCCTGGGGTGTTTCGCTTCAGGCTTCATTTTGGCCAAAAGAGCACATGTTGCTCAGGCCCCATCACAGGAGGAGGCATCGCGCAGACGCAAGGTGACCTCGACAAGTGACAAGAAGTTAGCAAGTGGCAATTGCATCACGGTCACTTCTGATTTCTACAGTTGCATACGATTACACTGATTGGCAGTTTTGAGAAAGTCCTGATCAGTCAAGGCGACTGCACTGGTTGTTGTTTTTGCCTTGCTCTTCTTGGCCCCGAATTTGCTGATGCAAATTCTGCCTGGTTTGGCAGCCGCTTTGGTAGGTCGGACTGTAGACAACGCACAAAGTGGTCCGGTGCAGTCTGCTTGCCTTGTCCAGGTTTGGCCCTGATTTCTCGAACAGAAAGTGCATCCAGATGGGTATGGCCATACCCCTAGATCTCAGGGACGATCTTGTATCAAGCCACGTTAGGTCCCTTCCAAGATCTTGTGAATGAAAGGCTAGCTTTGGGCTTGGTGCTGGCGGGCTATTTGGTCCCGTGGGTTCTTCGAGTCCTTGCCTCATTCTCCAAGTCCTTACATCTTCAGTCAGTCAATTTATTGGAACCGAACCACAGAGCTTACCTCCGTTGAGCACTGGCGATGTCAGACTTGTAGGTTCGCTCTGAATTTGAACCAGTACGAGGCTCGCAAAAGAAAGAGGTCAAGTGACCCGGGACTCGGTGGACTCGGACGTCTGGACACCTTCGGACATTGCCACCCGCATGCTGAGGAGCTGTCCGTTTTAGAATTTTTTAGAAGGGAACGGGGAAGAAAACAAAGATGTGATGTCTATATGAAGGTCATATTCCAAGGTCCAAAGAAGGAAGAAAAGAAAGCAAACACAGGAAAGGAAGAAACAGGAACAAAGAGAGAACACAGGCAAAGAGGCCATATATAATGCTGCGATAATATGGGCCACAAAATGTATACTGTAACAAGCTTTAGTTCCAGGCCATTTCACCAATGGACCTCTACCTGCGGATTCCTCTTTCCTATTGTGCAAGAGTAGCATCCCTCCTGCTCGCCACGGAACTAAACGCACGACAATTCCTTGAGGCCTCAGAACACTTCTCCAAGATTACAAAGACAACCAAGACATCGGATTGGCAATGTTCCCTCTCCTGATAAAATTGACATTATACATTCCAATTGCCATTGCATGCTGTTGTCGAAAATGTGCAAGCACAACTGACACGCACAATTGCTGCACTTCTTTGCCAACACCGTGCCAGCACTAAAAGAGGGGACCCTCCAACGAGACACATTGTTCCATGTACTGGCTGCTCTGAGGTGCGAATTTGCGTGGCCTTGGCGAGCCAAGCCCAGTTCAATTCTTAGTGCAAATAAACCTCAGCAAGTTTTACAAACTGATTCTTTTGGTTGAGATGGTTGCCACTCCATGTTTGCAGACGTCTTGGAGGTGCCAGTCGGGACTCCAGAAAGTGGAGAAGAGGTCTTGTTGAATGATGGGCTTACAGCTTAGATGCTACAGAGAAGCTGCTTCTAGTTGCACTGTCCGTAGGGTATCGACGGGATGCTCTACAAGTATCAGTGAGCCTCTTGATGCTTCAAAGAATTGGAATTGCTTCTGAGGCGTTTCATGCGGCTCCCTGATCCTGAGAACCGGAAGTCGGCTGAAAGGAGTGCAAAGGAAGGCGTGGAAAAGTACGCCACCAACACGAGTTTCCCACGCAGCCAACAGCACGCTGAGCACACTGTCGAAGTCACCATGATGCAGCAGCCAGTTGTGTCAGGATGGCAGCAGCGTTTGCCAAGCAGCTTAGACTTGGTGCAAGAAAGTTCAATTTACTGCCAATCATCATTTGCCTGCTGCGGGGTTCTTTAAGGTTGTCAGAGATGACTACTGCTATTAAAGGTGGCCACGAACAGGCACTGTATAGTGTGTTGGCAGAGGTTGTTCGCGTACTTTTCCATTCCCTTCTGTTTTCAGGTCCTCACCGTCTTCTCTCGTCAAGGTTGTCCTTGGTGCCAGAGGTTTGGCTGTTTCGCTGGTTGCTTCGAGTCTTTGATCCTTCAGTGCTTTGGCCTGCCAGTGAACAAGGCAACTTCCTGTTCTGCAACGTGCAATTGCAAAGAGAGTAGGCCATAGTGCTGCTAACAACGATGCTGCACGTGAGGCCCGCCACGCTCATATTGTGAGTGATGACACAATTCTGATTGCTTTTTGTTGTTTTTTTTCTTGGCCTCTTGGCTGGCATATCAAAAGCATTGTTCCTCACAGAAGCCAGCAGCTAGCCGCAAAAGTTGGCCAAATCAATCTTATACAAAGACTGTCAACAAGAGAGCCACAGGAATTGATCTTCACGATCTCAACAAGAGGTTGAGCTCAGACGATGTCGTCTAGTGTGCTGATCGCCAGCAGTTTCATGCCAGGCACCTCCTTCCGCGTCAGGGCAGCATGAGCAGGCGATGGGCGAGCCGAGCAAGCCCATCCAATGATGTTTTTGGATTCCAAACAAGTCTTTTCCCCCTTTTGGGGCATAGACAAGACGCATCATGAGTGAGATCATAATTGAGGTTTTTGGGGGTTCGTTTTGGTTACTGCCATCGCCTTGGGGCAACGTCACACTACGGCATCTTTTTCACCCTTGCATTGCTTGACCTTTCTATACTTGCTTGTTGCGCATCATGCACACGGTTCAAGCATTGCTTGAGTTCGGACCCAGCATCCCCAACCAAGACCCAAGCATATATAAATTGTCATTCCGACTCCATCCCATCAAACATCACAAGCATCATTCCGACAGTCCTTTGCTCCCGACTGCCAAACCGAAGATGGCGTCCCTCCAGTCCTCCAGCTTGGCATGGTGATGGATCCAAGAATCCGAGCCCTGACCCACGATGAACCCTTCACGTAACCGATTGAATGATCGCAGTCCCAGCGAAGGATCGCATGTCTTGACTCCCATGCTCCCTCGGAGTATATGAGGCAGTTGGAGCGGCGTGACTTTGAAGTTGAAGGAACCACTACAGAGATATTTGCAAGACAGAAGTACAAGGGCTTGTGGCCTGTCCTTGATGGTCAGTCACTTGGACGATGAAATGTATCTGCGTGAGAGAACGAGGTGACACTTCATGTAAGAAGCTTGTCGCGTAAGCAAGATCCGATTCGGGTCTTTTGATATCTAGTTCGATAATCCGACCAGGAGGTACTTGAAGCTTGGAGCCCGTCCGATTTGGATGCACGATGCAGCATTTTCGACAACTTTTCTTTGGCATACCCCCCGCTAAGCTCGCCACAACGAATCGTTGGGATCGAGAGGTCACACAACAAACTCGAACAACGAGAAAATAGAAACGTTCGACCAGCCAGAATTGCCACAGCTGGTTGCAGAAGCGGTATGCCCAAACATGGGCCAGTGAAGTTGTTCGTGTAATCAGAATATCAGCCGCTCAGAGCATTCCACCGAAAATGGAGTTGACCAGCAAAACATTCATGTTGAGTTAGAGTGGCCTGACGAGACATGTTCTGGACCTCACTACATCCCAGATCACGCCCCAAGTCACCACATCACCAAATTGCACCAATTTGTCACAGACCACCTGAATGAATGTCATCACCAAATTGCACCACTTTTTGGAGAGCTGCAGCTGCAAGAGATGTAACCCTGTGGCCTGACCTAGGGTTTGTGTAAACGGGCCATGTCCAGCCCCAGCTTGGCAGTAGGTAAACCATCCTGGAAGAGTGGGGTCTATTGAAGTGAGGTATGTTCTACTTTCGTTGGCCAGTGGTCGCAGAATGTTTGCCGTTCTTCTTGTTGCAAGCATCCTTGCAGGCAGAGACGCCACAAGAAGTGCCGGCACAAGCATTTGTTTCCACCGCAGCTGTTGGGCTGGTGAAACCTGGCATGTTTGCCTTTTTTGACAAGTCCAATCAAGAAAGCGTGCTTTATGACCTCAGATCTGGAACGTCTTGCCCGGTGCACTTAAAATAGAAGTGCTTCTTTGAGAAAATTATGTTTGTTCCAAAGATGTTGCATTGACAGGCCAAACCACCTTCTGGGGCATCGCTGGTGTCTGCACCACTCCGGGTGTTCATCCTTTATGCCGGGCCTTTGAGCTCTTACCGACCACTGGAGAACTATGACCCTAACGATGATCCATGGCGTTCACCGCACGATGACACCACTCCAACACAGGGAGCTGTTCCGGGCTATGCCGCGGGACCAGTGAATCCCACACAAATGAACGGCATGATGAATGTGGGTGGTGGGCAAAACTTTGGTCAATCATCCAGTTTTGCACCACCGCTTCGAGCTGATTCAGTTTGTGGATTTGATGAACACCAAGGCCGAAGAGTTTCCATCTGCCGCGCAAGCTTTCAATGTGGAGGAGCGGACACTCTGGAGATGAGCAAGAACCCCTTCGTTTTGTTTTTGGTGTGTGTTTTCAAATAGAGTATCACCCTGAAACCAAGACCCATTAGAGCATCACCCTTTGCTTTGCGATGTTTGGAGGCTTTTCCAACACTCATTGCCTGGGGACTTCCTGGTGTACCGTGGCTTCGGCGCGTTCGTTCGGAAGCAGATGCACCTCTTTGTTGTTTGGTGACTCTGCCAGGCCCTTGGCTGCACAGGGCTATTTGGATGATGAGAGCCTGGAACAGCTGCCCGGGCGCCCAGAGCGAACAGCTGTTTCTTTGTTTTGAACGAGCTACGCGTGGCGAGGCTGACAACAGTGGCCTTGAGTGAGCCTCAATCAGACTAAGCAGAGGTGGAGCTGGACTCATATTGCAAAGCTGAAAGCCACGGTGTTCTGAATCTACTGGCATTTTCAATTCGGCCAGAGATTCTTACATCTTGGATTATGCTACAGTTACTGACTAGACAGTGCGAAGGTGGTCCTACTACAAAACGTAGGCTGTCCCCGGCACTCGCACATGTCGTGTGCCAGACCTGTGATACCGGAAAACTGCACATTGACTTAGCTTCTTCAAGGCAGTTTCTTGTGAGGGTTTTGTGAGAAAACCTGGTTCTTGCAAACACAGCAGTTTTTGTTTCGCTTGTGTTTGTCCTCTGGCTGGAGCTTTAGTTTCAGAACTTCAACCATCATTGCAGTGGTGTCAGCTGCACCTGTCTTGTCGCTGGCAAGGCGACATGAAGGCCTAATTCTTTTTGCCACAACTGATAGAAATCAGAACAACAACGTAGTCACTGACATAGCTCAAGCGGTAAAGCAAGAATCTTCCTCTTGTCAGGCAACGCCCAAAGTTGCGGCCTCCAGGACTTGGGAGAAGGGTCTGGGTCCTTGCAATTTAGGTTCGTGATCCGCCAAGTACCCGAGTGGGGGGGATCAAGTTGGAGAAGCTTTCAGCAGCTTGCTTGCTTGTCAATATGAGGGTCCTTCTCTCACAGTCTGCCAAACATTTGTATCCTAAGATTCTTTTGACACGTTTTGAGCAGCAATGAACAGACAAGTAACATACAGTACACGTACAAGCTACTGCTTCGGTTTGCTATTTGCAACCTTCGGTTTTGCGCGGCAGGAGCAGTGCGCCCAATCCCAAAGGTGCGAACTTCGATTTCCCTCGGCGAACGGACCTTTGTGACGTTTGGGCTCGCCTCAGGAAGTCCAGGCTTGAGGAGACGACCTCCACAGCTTGCGACAAAGGCCACAATGAATGACAACTTGAAGACTTCAAGACCTTCATGATGCACTTTCGTCTGAGGAATATGTAGAAAGATGCAGTTTCGTCCTCTCTTGGGCTCAAGTCTCCGAGAAGATACTAGAGCCATCTAGAGCCCGCATTGTTAGATGGTTTTTGGCCCAGGTCAATGTGAGCGGGACACATGCTGCAACTGACAGCCTTTGTGAGGCTAACAAGACACAGAAACCACACAGACTGACACACAAGATACTCTTGCAAAGCCAAGTGCGGCGTCATGGGAGCTGGGCTGGCGGTTTGTGCGCGCCAAGAGGACTCGCAAAGGAAAGAATGGCTATCTTTCGTGTGAAGACGTGTGAAGACTATTGGGAGAGTAATTGAGTAGCAGTCAATTTTTGGATAATTCATCCAACTCGCAGCCACAAAAATGGTCACTTCTGTTGCCTGGCTCTCTGTGGAGGACACTACAGTTGAGTTTCCATCTTCTGTGGAGTCACCTTGTCCAAAGCAGCAAGGTGATTTGATCCCGTCACCAGGCGCAACGTTCGTGCCATGCGGCCATGCGCAAGCAATACACCACCAGAGCATCGTTGCCAACTCTTTTCCGAGGTCTCTGCAAGCCTCGTTGCCAACCAAACGAGTTTGTCGACGTGGAAGTTTGTCAGTCACCAACAGAGAACCACGCAAGCGGAGAAACTTCGGCGGCCAGCTTAGTCTGTAATACAAGTTCCGAAGGTTCTTACAGACAGTTAAAAAAGGTTGTTGCTGATGAAGTTGCCGTGGTTCAGTTTGTCATCATTCCGTGACATACCGGTAGCGCAGCTACTCTTCCTTCAGTTCTTCTGACAACTCCACACAGAAGGGTTGGCACTAAGGCGAACATAGCGCAGCTGCTGGAAAAGCCTGTAGGGTAACTGAACTGAATTGGTCACACCATTCAATTGTTTTGTTTTGCGAGCTGCCTTGAAGTGAGGCAGTGCGCTTGGCTGCCGCCATGCTGCTCACAGTATGGCAATCGGTGACTCGTCAGCATTTTTTTGTGTCTAGGCTGAGACTGCCACCAAGAGAGATCGAGAAGACCAGCGCCAAATACTGCTTCAAACCAACATTGCTCATCAGATATATAGTAATTTGTTTGATTTTGCTTGATATTATTCTTGGACTTTGCTAAATCTTTCATAGCAGCGGACGTGTTCTTTGCGGAAGCATGCAAGATGCTGCAAGACCATTGTTTGGAACGATTGGCTTCCGAAAAGGAAGTGGAAAACTCGACGGGCCAAAGGCAACGCGTTTTGCTGGGCAGGCCATGTGGGTTTCCGGAGAAGTCGGCAGAACTGGAGTGAAAACGAGCACCACAAAGTTGCTGCCAAGGTCCCCGGTGTCCACCGTTCAGGCGGGAGTTATGATTTCCAGAGTAGACTTCTTCTAGAGGAGATGCCAGAGAGAGGCTTTTGCGGAAGATCAAAGGAGACGGAGCTGAGCAGGACATAAGAGAGTAGACAATGCTGCTGAACTCAGGTGCCGACAGAGCCATGGACCATGGGACTGAAGGGGCAGCTGCCCCAAGTTGAACAAGTCGGCAGCTCTGGGAGAAAGAAGGCAAGAGGTCTTCATCGCTTCACATGAGAGGTGGGCCAATCGCATCAAGTTGCTGAGGAAGAAGTCAATGAAATCTCAGAGGATATCAGCGAGGAGCTGAAGCTACTGGGCATGGAGGACGCAGCCACCATGAAAGAAGACATCACTTCCAGAGAAGAGAAGACCTGCAGGATTGGCTTGCTGCAGCCCTTCAAGAAGACAATGAAATATTTCAGACAGGTAGCCAGGCGCCCCTTCCAGATTCTCTGTATAATTTGATTCAGCAACCTTTTTTGCGACTTAGACCAACTTCTCAGAAGCGGCTGAATCCAGGTTTTGTTCCAATCCAAAGACAGCTATTAGCTTCAATCTGATACGAGACAAAGCCAATTCGAGGGTCACTTTGCCAGGTTGCGGCTTCATCAAGGCGGGTGACAAACACCATTGCAAGTGCAATCAAAGATGAAGCCACCAGGTCCAATGCGATATCACCACGAGGGCAACCAGAGGAGGCAGAGATTGAACATTGATTAATATTGCATACATTGGAGAGACAAAAGAGACATAGATCATCATAGATTCAATACATCGTGCAGAGGAGCCTGGCGCTAGTGAAGCTGATAGCTTCGCTGGTGAGCTACATGAGGCACGTTTTGAATGTTTTCCATTCGGAGGGTTTTTGGGAGTGCGCTTGGAGCAGCTTTAGAGCATTCCAAGTTTTGTTTCCGCATGGGTATGCAAGTTTGTTTCGCAGGATCTTGAGCCGCCAAGCTCTGCAAGGAGACAGACTCACGAGGCCCAAGAAGCCGAAGAGGCCCAAGAGGCACGGGGCCAGCTTTCGGCACGCGGCTTTGCAAAAGTGTCAAATCTCCAGGTGAGGCACATCTCTCCTGAATCTGCACAGCCCGAGGCATGCTTAGCTTGTGGCCGAGCTCACAAGGAGCTGAAGTTGTTACGATTGTTTCTTATCTTCTTTTTTTGCGGGGTAGGCCGCTGAAGAGGTAAGCTACTTACTTAGTAGCTATTAGGTACAGGACGCTACTAGCTAGGACGCAGGATTGGTCACGCTTCTTCAAGAAAGCTCGCTTCCTTGAAAAAGCGCGTTCACTATTCATTTGCTTCCTGGATTTTTGGCAAGGGAGTTTTGGGAAAGATCGTTTGATATGTCCGAAACCTCACTCAATACGGCGGTTGTGGGTGGTCCCACCCTGACTTGGTTCGTTTTTCAAGGTGTGCGTGGGTGTGTGTTTTCCAATGGTTTTTACTTATGCTTCCATGGCCACACAATAGATCACAATAGTATATATATATATATGTATATAGATATACAGATACAGCATCAATCATTTGAAGTTACCAGTTAAGCAATAGAGCAATCATTTGAATCACCAATTGGCAAAGGAACGCCAGCCATCCGTAGCAATAAGAAAGATTCAAATTACTCATGCCTCCAAAAACAGACACGTTGAATTCTCCTCAAGTCCTGGGTGAATCTCACCAAGCTCACAGCAGCGCAGTGGACATCCTGAAGTCTTGGGGGTTCTCAGTGCTAATCTCCCGCTTTCACCTCCCTTGTCTGGAGGTGGCCGAGATGGCTTTGGATCCTCCGGCTACTCCGAACCTCGACCATCAACCTGAAGAGGACAGAAGCGTTGGAAGAGACGCTTGCCTTGTGAGCATTTGTGTGACATGTTTTAAAAGACATCAAAACGCTACTGCCCTTGTTGCTATCAAACAGATTTTGTGAGAGGCGGCTATATGCGCTGCCCCTCCAGAGAGCGTGGGCCTCAAGTGATGAACTCGCTATTCTTTGTGTCTCCAACTTGCATTTTGGGTACGGTACCCTACCAATGTGCGCACTGTGGCCCTTGGATTTAGGTCTGCAACTCTTCCATATCTCAGCCTTGGATCTAGGTGTGCTTCTCAAGTGTGCTTCACGCATTCTTGCAGACGTCTATGACATAGGCTCCGATCCGGGTGACGATCTGCCTGGAGATGCTGGAAGTCGCGACCCCGAATCAAATTGTCAAGGGTCTCGAGAGAACTTGAGTCACTGTGTAACATGCACTGTTCAAAGGTTCTCAGAAGATTCTGTCGGACAAGCCACAGAAACGTTTACCTCGTCGAAAGCGTGCAGAACCCAGACTATGCCGCAAAAGGTTCATCAGCGTGCGCAGGAAGCAAGTACAGTTAGGAGTTTGTAGAGCTGTCGAGCTTGTGCTCTAGTTGTTCTAGTCCAAGGTGCTGACATTATGCTATGGTGAGGCGGTGCACCAGTTTCCTAAGCTCGTCACCTAATGCTTGCACTTGACTGTGCTAGAATCTCGGTGACTTTAGCATTTGGCCCATTTGGCAGACAAGTCTGCTTGCGGAATCAATCTGACCTACGGTCAAAAATGCAGATAGCAGCTATCACAAACCAGGAGACAAACCGCTTGGACTCAACAGTTTTTGACCGTATCTCGTGTACGTTGTGCAAAGCCCCAAGTGATTCTGCGGCGTTTGGTGGAGACTCATGAAATGAGTCCCTAAAGCTGAGTAGCTTCTAGATTTGCACTGCCAAAGAGTGCGACAAGTCCAGCATAGAAGCCTCATCCCGACCATTTGGATCATTGAAACCAACGCGTCTCATGGATCTGCATGGATCTCCAGGCTCAGGCAGCGCCAAAGCAAAGGTTGCGCTCGAGCAGCCCGAATGAGTTGGACGCTCAAAAGCTGTGGTGGACGTTGACTCTGATTGACCCCAGACATCATTGGCATCATTGATCATTGAGGTTGAAGGACAGAAAGCAAGTCGCAGAGGTCAGTGTCCTTGGTCCATTCGGCAAAGCACCAGTCAGCGTTGGCACAGCATGTTGATGCTGCGAGGCTCGAGCCGCTCCGAGTCAGGCACCCGTTGTTTGGCGTCCGAGCGACCATGAGAGGGATTTAGACTCTAAGCCTGGAGGACTCGAAAGCTGCGAAGCCTCCGGAGCGGCCCACGCCCTCAGAAGGGCTTCCGTTGAGAAGCAAAGCTGAACGATGCCATTTTGCAGTATTGTGCATCTCTTCTTCGAGTACAGTCTGACTATTCCGCTGACTCTAAAAATCAGAGTCACCAAAAGCATTGTTCCGCTTCGAGGACTCGAACTCCTCAGCGGAGCCCACGGACCCCAAGTCCCAAGAGAAATGCGCGCGAACGCAGCTCAAAGTTAGGAGAGCCACATGAAAAAAACAGTTTGAGAAGTTAGCAGCAGCTTCATGAAGATACCTACCTCATCAGTCTGAAACTAAACGTAACATATTTGTGCAGCTAATCTTCTTGGTTAATCTATCTCTACTTGAAGTCCTTGAAATCTCGTGAGGAGTTGCTACAGTGCCCAGCGAGAAGGTCGAGAAAGTTGAGAAGGTTGAGAAGGTTGCTTCAGAGCCTCAAGAGGCTGACAAAACTTGAAGCTGTTTTGATGGTTTGTGTGTTGGTGTTTGAAGAGAATCCCCCTCAGAGCGCCCACGAAATCTTGCGTTTGATTTCTCCTTTGGCTGAGCCAGCTGCGCCAGGAGGAGCGCCTCCCACACTCCTCGCGAGTTTCAGATGCTGTGTGAGAAGCTCAGCAAGCTCCACGGGACAAGCTCGACGGACTTCGCTTCATTCCGAGGAAGGCCACTCCACCTCCTGCAATGACTCTGGAGGCTTGGTAGGCCACTCTGCGAACCAGATGTGAAGAGTACAGCGTTTGCAGGCACTCTATGCAGAGAACTATCGGCTGAAGCAGCAGGCCTCGCGGAGAACTCGTTAGACGTCACAGATTCGGAACTCCTCCAAGCAGGTTGCTCGCCAGCGTGCGGAGATTCAGGATTGGCTCTCAGCTTGCCAACCACGCAAGCCTTTCTTTCTGAATCCTTTCTTTAATTTCTGCATTTGGCTTGTTTTTGTCGCAGAGGAACTGCGATCGCAAAGCCTTAGTCAGACGCACACTCCAGTGCCGGGTGAGCCAGTGGCGAGCTATTTAGGCAGGACTTTGCAGACAGATAAACCATTTTGGTAGAGGTAGGCTTTCATCTCATTGTAAGGTGTTGTGATAAGCTTGTTCATGAGATGGAGACGGACAGCTAGAGAAAAGACACCTTGCAGTGAATTTCATTGGCCTCGCCTGTGTTGAGATCCATGTTTGCTTTCGCATTCGCGAAGCCCGCAGTTGGATCCAGAAGCACCACCCCTGTCAAGGCAGCAGGGTGATGCGCAAGAGAGAGAGGGAAATAGAGAGAGAGAGAGATGTTCGGGCTTTGATCGCGGTGTTTTGTTTTTTGCAAGCGTGACAGGTGCAGTGCGGCACATATTCTGTGCCTGCACCTGCTCCATGTAGGACGCAAGAAGCTTACGAGTGAATTGTTTTTCAGAGTACTAGCGCCCGCGGGCCCGATGCGGTGACCCAGTGAGCCTGTAGGGACATTAGGGTTGGTGTATATATGCTTGGGACTTGGGAAGGACTGTGGCCATTACAACGGCATGTCCTTGTGCAAGCCTCGGTGATGTGACAGCCATGTTTTGAGCATAGCTTTGATAGCTGCCAGGTCAAGTGCCGGTCAGCAGAGCATCCTTGTCACCCAGAATGGTCCGCCGATGTTGTTGTGATGCCACATGATGCCACTGCCTCCATGCTTGGGTTTTGGCATGATTCATCATGGAAAGGTCAGAGTAACTTCTCCCTCTCCTGCTTCAACACTGACGACTGACACGTTGACAACGCCCAGGCGAGGTAAGAGTGCCCAAGACACAGAAGAGCTAGGGCAGCTAGGAGGGCTGAGCAGCTTTGAAGCGCAAATCAATGGCTTTGAGGCAGGTGGAACATGCCTACCCCGTGCACATTCCTGTCGCCTACCCTGCGCCCTATGCCTGTGGTCAGGCGCGATATTTAACTCAAGCACATGTCATGCGGCTGCGGCTTCAAGTGAGAGATGACAGGTGCAACCTTCCGTGAGGGAAACCATGAGACTCAGCCGCAGACAAACTCTATCAAATTTTGGGACGACAAATGGAAGGTAAAACTTGACCTCGGAACGCTGCTTGTAACAACATTGACTATCATGATCTAAGCTTTCGACTTCATTCTGGCCCTCCAATGACTTAAATACAAAAATAAACATATTATAAATATTCAATATATATATATATATATTAATGCGTTTACTTTTATTTAATGAATCAACTAATATTTTTATTTTAAAAAATTTTTAATTAATCTATTTTGATATTAGGAATTAATTATCTATTTATTAAATATATTTGAAATTAATATATATTTTTAGATATTTTTATTTTATTAAAAAATAAATTCTTATATATTTATATATTATATTTATTTGTTTTAAATTAGAACATACATTAAATATTTTGGGATTTTTATTGAATATAATTATTTATTGATTTTATGTTTTATTATTATTTTTAATTTAATATAGAGGATTCGTAATCGATAGTTTTAGGGAACGTGAAATTATGTAGTTGCGTGGTTTGTTGGGTTATTTTAATGGTCGGTAATATAAATATTATCGTATTCGTAATATATTATTTTCGTTATATTTTTAGATATGAATTATGGTATTATTATTTTTATTTATTGTTATTGGCATTAGTTATTGGATTTTTCGATATGTTTGAAGGATTTATTTGGTATTATTTTTATTTTGAAATTGATACGATTTTTTTTATTCGAATTTACGAATTTTTTAATAATGGATAATCGGGTTAAAATGGAGATTCGCGTTATAAAATAATATTTATTGGAATTGGGAGGAATTTTTTAGTGGATATTTTTAGGTTGATAAATTATTGATGGATTGATAAAGGATTTTAATAGATATTTGATATTTTTTTTTTTCCGATATTCATAATTGAAATTGATTTAAAATTTTAAATATAAAATTACGAAGAAATAACTAGGAAATTTATGATGCATATAATGCACTTTTATTCTTTGAAGAATATATATAATTTTTTTATGAAAATCCGGCGGATGGTACGACTGAATATGTTAATTTTATGTCGAATGATATTTGTATGTATGTATTCTTATGTCGTTGGTCGCCGGTAGAATGGGAATAAGGTTCGTTATGGATTTTGTTATTGCAACATGCTCGAATAGAGAAGAGCAAAGTCTCCCTAGCGGCTAAGCTTGTGGTTGTTATCGATGTTTAAATTTAGAAGGATAAGTTTGGTTTGGAAGAATATAATTAATTCTATCGTATGTTGAACGATGGCACCTAAATTATGAAAAAGAGGGAGATTTGCTCCCATCGAATACCTGGAATAATATCACGCTAAGGCGAACGCTAGCCTGTTGAAATGTGCTATTGCACTGAAGTTGTGCTCGAGAATAACCGCCTTTGGTTCCGTCGGTACGCATACTGCGGCGATCCTTAGTGGGCCGTTAGATGGATTGAATTTTGTTCTGGATGAAAATCTAAGAAATGATATCCAGGTATGGCTGGTAGATTGTAACGATATATAGGTTGATGGATATAATTCCTGAATTTTCTGCCAAGCCTCCATCGGTATGAAATTCATGCTACGCACTATTATTGAAACATATTTCACCTAATTCCCACGGCAGGGTAGGCTTATGCTGCCAAAACTTGGTGCGGACCGCCGCGCGTTCGTGCGCGACTTTCGTTTATCGTGGGCATTCGAATTGCTCCATACGTTCGCTATTCACGCACTTATTTCATAGATTTCGTATCGCTAATATTTCCGCAAAACATATATTAAACCTAGCATTTATAATAAAAACCAATCTTAAATAACAATTCAATAAATTCAAATCTAAATTAATTAAAATCCAACCAATTTAATAAATTATAATTTAGTTAACTATAGTAATAATTCAATATATATATATAAATCAATTTACCAATTTCACATAATATAAATATAACCAAACATCTCAATATACATTATTTAATTTATATATTTTATATATATAATTATATGTATTTACTAAAATTGTTAATAATTCATTTATATATATTTTATTCATTCACTTCCAGCCGGAGAGAGGTTAGGACCGTGTTGGGCAGCACAGCAACTAAGCTGCGGGTGCTTCAGGAGCATCTAGCCACAGTCACGAAATATGCGAATGCGAAAAAGGAGCAAAAGGCTCATTCGGAAAAGGCCGTAGCCAACAAGTCGGACAGGTCGACGATCATGTTCTCTATGGGTCTCCGCCACCACATGTTCACATCTTCTTGCGGAACCAGCCAGAACAAATAGGCTGAGCGGCGGATTGGATCAACTACCGAGCACCTGGTGGCCGGCTTGCCATCATCAGTCAGCCAAGAGCTTCCCGAACTGAGAAAAAGACATTGGTAGTGGCCGCTGTCAGGATCATCTCCAAAATGACAAACAATGGCCACCACACGGTATTGAAGCCA